GAAGGCGGTGTTTTGCAGTGCCAACAGTGTTCCACTGAATGTAAGAAGTGTGACAGAAAAAGTGGTGCGTGCACGTCTTGCGAAGTTGGCAACAAGAGAGTTGACAACAGTTGTGTGTCATGTGCTTCATCTGGATACTGCGATTTGTGCACAGACGAGACATCAGATGGTATTTGTGTATCATGTGAAGATGGTTTTTATTTGAATGAAAGTGCCGACTGTCAACCATGTAGTGATATCCACAATGACTGTCTGACGTGTTCAAAAACAACAAAAACGTGTCTCTCATGTGCAGGCAACATGATATCAATTGGCACCAGTTGTGTTGCATGCGAAGTTGGGATGGTCAAAGTCACAGAAACGACATGCGACTACTCGTACAATGTCATCCCAAAGTGTCAAATTGCAGACTATGTCAATAATCAACACATTTGCACCACCTGTTTTGCGCCATACGTCACTTCAAGTGACTTGAAAACGTGCAATTTGGGATACACAACAACAACATACTTCAACATAAATGATCACAAATTACGCACCAACATGGATGGGTGCATCAACCAAATCGATACAACGTGTTACTTGTGTGATACAACAACGATGTTGTTAAACGGTGTTTGTAATGTTAAGCACGAGAAGTGTGAGAAAAACTCGCAACACGGCTGCGACAAATGTGTTACAGATGTGATCACATCAAATGGCAATTGTGTTGTTAACACAAATTGTAAATACGAAATCAACAGAGAAAGTGGCACCGAGTGTTTGTATTGTGTTGATGACGTGTTGTGTGGCAAAACAAAACAAAATTGTGAAACATCACACAATGAGTACTGCTACTTAGCAGTCAGTGGATATCACACTACAAACTACAACACCGTTGAACAGTGTGAAAGTGAAGTGTGTGTCATTTCAAATGGAGTTATCACCGATTTAAAATGTAAAGAAGGCAAATTGTTGATAAATGGCGTGTGTACAACTAATACGATGTGTTTAGTAATATCATATGGTGATTGTACTAAGTGTGATTCAAAACAACACATCTCACAAGGAAAATGTTCACAAAACAGTGCAAATTGTGACAATCAAAATGGAGATATTTGCATTGTGTGTGACAACTCCATCAACGTTGATGGTGTGTGCACAGACAGCCAGTCGATTCATTGCTCTTCATTTGACAAAGTGTGTGTCACATGTGAGAGTGGTTATTACAAAGATGTTGATGGCTGCAAAGATAAGACTGGCGTGTTGTCTAATTGTGGTGTTGTCTCGTCACTCAACACCAAATGTGTCGAGTGTGAGTCCGATTACAACTTTGATGGAATTTTGTGTGTGCCACAAACACTTCCAAATGAGACCACCAAACAAACAACTAAAAACGTAGACACACAGACAGACAGCCACTGTGAAGTGAGCACCACAAAGGGGTGTCTGAGGTGTTTGAGTGGGTATTACCTCGCAGACCGGATGTGTGTGAAGTGTGAGTACCCCTGTGTTTACTGCTCAAATCAGACATTCTGCACAAAGTGTGACGATTACTCGTACGCAAACAGCAACGGCGTTTGCACTGAAATCAACGCACTTGTCCGTGTGTGTGACGTGTTGATGTCAACATATCGTGGATGTGTAGTCTGTAAAAATGGGTACATGCGGTCATCTGATGGGACAACATGCATTGGTTGTGATGAGTCGTGCAAGTCGTGCACAAATGAAGGAAACTGTGTTGTGTGCGAAGAGGCGTTTTATCGCACGTCATCAAATGTCACCAAATTGTGTTCGCCACAAAGCGAGTTGACTTCGTGTGCAAACAAAACAACAGCCGGTTGTATGCTATGCGAAGGGGGACACTATCTCTCAAACAATTTGTGTGTGAAGTGTCAAGAAACATGTACACAATGCAATGGCATCGATGAGTGCACTGATTGTGTGAAAGACAATGTACTTGTGTCAGGTGTCTGTTCACACTACACAGCCATCGAAAACTGTGTTGCGTCTGCCAACAACAAATGTTCAAAATGTGATGACAACTACAAATTGAGTGACGACATGTTGAGTTGCATTCACACAACAAATTATGGTGTTGTAGTTGGCATTCCAATTGTCTCCGTTTTCATCATAGTACTCATTATCATAGGTATTATTGTAATTACAATTATTGTTTTACAAAAGCGCAAAGAAACAAAGAAAATGGAAAACATCTGTGTCTTTAAGATGAGTCGTTCAAACATCGCAATGAGTGTGTTAGACGGCAACATTTTGACCAACAAAAAGTCGCTGACATTTGATGACACCAGTGAAATCATTCCTGTTGAAAAAGAGTCTCGCGAACTCCTCTGTGTTGGTAACAAAGGTAAAGGCATTTTGAAAGTCCAAATCACAACACGTGGCGGCTGCGACAAGTACTCAATTCGCACCGAGCCGCAATTGGTGACTTTGAAGAAAGGTGAAGCATGCGAGTTTGAGGTGTTTGTAACACCACATTGTTCACTGAAATTGCACGACGAGATGATGATAGTCACCATGAACATCGAAAATGGCGAGACTGTGTCTGTTCCAATTGCCATTGAAATCACAACAGAAAACTCAACGAAATTGGATTACGACGAGTTGAAAGAAGACAAGAAACTTGGCGAAGGCTCGTTTGGAATTGTCTACAAAGGAAGTTACAGAGGAAATGTTGTTGCTATAAAGAAAATGAAACAGTCAAATGACACAGACAAACTCATTGATGAATTCGAAAATGAAGTTTCAATGTTGGACAAATTTAGAAGTGATTACATCGTTCACTTTTATGGCGCTGTGTTTATACCAAATAAGATATGTATGGTCACACAATTTGCACAATATGGAAGTCTACAAGACTTGATGAAACATAAAAAGAACGAACAAATTCCGCCAATGAAACTTCGAGTTAAAATGATGATGGATGGGGCAAGAGGTGTATTGTATTTACATGAGAACGGGATATTACACAGAGACATCAAACCAGACAACATTCTTGTTATTTCACTTGACTTGAATGAGAAAGTGAATGCAAAATTGACCGATTTTGGAAGCGCTAGAAATGTCAACATGTTGATGACCAACATGACATTTACAAAGGGTATTGGCACACCAGTGTATATGGCTCCGGAAATTTTAAACAAAGAGAAATATAAAAAGGCTGCTGATATCTTTTCATTTGGAGTCACTATGTATGAGGCATTTGGGTGGTCTGAGGCGTATCAAAACGACACATTCAAATTTCCATGGAAAATCGCGGAGTTTGTAATTCACAACAATCGGCTGAAACGAAAAGACCCAATTGAAAAAGAGCAGTACAACATAATCACACAGTGTTGGTGCCAAGACCCCAAAAGTCGTCCACAAATGGAGATGGTTGTGGACCAACTTTCAAAACTAAATTAATTGTTTCATATACATTTTATAAACAACAAATATAGTTACATTTTATTATAAAGTATAATTTTTAATTAACAATAATAACATTTTTGCTAAATATTTGATTAATAGAATGTAACACAAAAACTATTTTTTTAAAAATGTTACATTAAATTGAATTTAATATGTTAAAAAGATAATACAAATAATATAAAAATTGTATGTCAAATAATTAGGGTGTCAACCTACAATAAATGAAATATTAATTGATCAATTTTATTGGTTATAAACTTAATCACCATGAAAGTTTTTCTTTCTTAAAGGATCAAAAATAACAATTATATTTTAATAACGAGTTTTCATAACGTCAATAAAGTTGTCCAAAATTGTAGTTTAATTATATTTATCAACTCGTTAATTAACGTTGATTTTGTTTTTTATAACATAGTTGAATATATAATTCGACTTAAAATGGATCTTTGGAGAATGATATTTTGTTTAAATTCATAGTTAAACAAAAAAATGTATTAAAAATGTAAAAAAGGCAAAATTAATTGTTTTTTGTATTTTTCTTTAAAATATTGGTTTTAAAATTTTAAATATCATTTGTTTTTTTTGATTGTTCAGTTAAATTCAACAAATTAAAAATTATTTACATTTTTGGTTTGTTATATACTTTAATAAAAAATGTCAACTATTATGTTGTGGTCTTTTATATATAATATTATTTATATATAAATAAAACTTAAAATAACTCACTTGTTTTTTAATTTAGCTGTTATAACTTGGATATTAATTCAACTTTTGAAGATTCTCATATTTGTTGGTGTAATCTTATACACATAAAATAAACTTTAAACATTAAAAAAAATAGTTAATAAATCAGATATTTTTTGTTTTTAGACCACTTGAATTTTGTATAATGTTATTTAAGGTGCCAAAATAATAGTTTCATTTTTTTATGTTTAAATATGATAAGTATCATTATACAGTCATGCTAAAAAGCTGTCGCGTTTGGAAAAACCTGTCTCGGGTGGTAATGAACTATTCCAGTACTATAAACAAATGATCTGAAATAGAAAATGTTATTTGGAAATGCCGAATATTTTTATTCGATTTTTGTGAAATGACCCTGCAAATAAATCGAATAGAAGCTATACTGTATAGTAAGTAATTATAAATTTACTATAAAATATTTTTTCAAGACAGGTTTTTCCAAACGCGACAGCTTTTTCGCATGACTGTATAGTACAATTATAAATTTCTTTTAATATTTGTACAAATGTACATATTTTTAATAATAACGTCTGACATACAACATTTAAATGACATTCTATAATTACGCAATTTTTATAATGATTATACTATACAATAAAAATTTTTGACTATATATATGATGTATTTTGATTATAATGTTGTTATAATTATTTTTAATAAAAAACAACTATTAACTTATAATTTAACTACACTTAGAAAAATTATTAATATTGTAAATATAGACAAATGTAGAATTACACCAGTGATAAAATAATATATTATAATTTATAAAAACAATAATTACACTTTGTGTAATAACAAACCAAAGAATATAAAAACAATCAGTTTAATAATATTATATTCAAATGACACAACAAATCCATAATGATCCAATTGCAGTTTTTGATATTAGTTCATATAAAACAAAAATTGGATTTGCTAATGAAAAAGTGCCATTAAAAACATATGTATCAGTTTCAGGACAATTAAAAGTTTGGACTTGTATGTGTGGTTCAGGAGAAATACCAAAAGATAATTTTGTTGGTGAAGAAACATATGAACGTCATAAACAATTAAATTTCAGATGTCTAGTTGAAAGTGGTATTGTTGATATTGAAAAGTATGATCTTGAAAGAATTGTTTATAATAACTTTCGTAATTATTTAAAGTTGGATCCTAATAAAACACCAAGTTTATTCACAGAAGCAGTTAATACCACCACAAAAATAAGACAATATATATGTGAACCCGCAATGGAATATTTTAAATTTCCACTTTTTTGTCTTATTTCACAACCGGTATTATCATTGTTATCAACTGGTAAAAGCACTGGGTTTTGTGTAGAGTCTGGTCATGGAGTAACTCAATTTGTGCCAGTTTATGAAGGTTCGAAAGTGCAAATGGGTGTGTCGTGTTTAAAACTGGCTGGACAAGATGTGAGTGAATCCATTGAGAAAATTGTAAATGAAAAGGGGTTCATTTATGAGGATATTATAGAAAAAGTTAAAATCAATGATATTAAAGAGAATCTGTGTTATATTGCTCAGAACTATGAAAAAGAAAAGAAAAAAGAAACAAAAGAACTCGAGAAGATTTATAACCTTCGCGATGAAAAAGAAATCAACCTTGGTGCTGAGAGATTTGAATGTACTGAACAATTGTTTAGTCCAGAAAAATATGGAAAGGAAATGAACGGAATTGCCCTCCAAACTTATGATTCGCTCATGCACGTTAATCCAGATGTAAGAAATGAGTTATATGGTAATATTGTGATAGCTGGCGGAAACACAATGATTCCTGGCTTTGTGGACAGATTTAAAACCGAATTAGCAGAAAGAGTACCCAATTCGAAAAAAATGAATGTTACTGCACCAGAAAACAGAGATATTTCTGCTTGGATGGGAGGTGCCATGTTTGCAAGTTTATCAACTTTTGAGTCGGCTTGCGTGTCAAAGGAAAATTATGATGAAACTGGCCCAAGTAATATCAACAGGGTTTGCCCATAAACATTTACTCATTTTAATTATATTGTGTGTTACAAATAAATAACATTTAAAAAACAAAAAATATTTTTACAGATAAACAATATTAAATATTTATCAATGTATCTTATATGTAAAAATATCAATGTTTATAAGCCGGCCAACAGTTTTTTGGGCAAATAAAACGAGATACAAAAAATTGTGTTTTTTTCTATAAATATAATAATGAAGAAACATACAGTAGGGGGAGTGAGGGGCTTGACCTATACTTTTAAAGGTTTATTTACAATATTTAAATAAAAACTGTTTTTAACGTTCTATTTAAAAACACAATCTTGATTTATACGTTATAGTTTATAAACAATAAAAGTATCGGTTCATCCTTAGCATATAGTCAGAACTTAAAATTGTATTCGAAATGACTTTGGTGTTTGTTAGTTGTTAGTTCTCAATTATGTCACCGGTAGGCGTCAGTCTTCTTGTTTGATATGGTTCTTGTTGTTGGTTTAGCTCTTGGATATTGGAAGGCAAACTTTCCTCTTCGGATTTGACCAAATATGTTGGTTTAGGCGGAAGAACAAACAATTCCAAGTGTTCTCTGGTATAAACACCATTGGCTTCCTGTAACAATTTGGAAGCCTCTTTTATAGAAACGAATATTCTTTTGATCTTGCCAATATTAATTCCAAGAACACCAGAATGCTTAAATGATGCAATAATGATGTTTTTGTTGCTTTGCTCTCCAATGCTCCCAACACCTTTTTGGTATGACGAGAAATTGAAACACAAATATGCTCTCTCGGCTATCCTTGTTTTCTTAGAACTTGTCGTGATCTGCCAACACTATCACTATGTTCTCTTATCCAAATCAATTCAAGTTTTCAGTTACTGCGAAATTGGCGTCAATTGATTTCAGTTGTCATTCAGTATTCTAGTATTTTAACAAGCCCGAATACACAAGCCAAATGGTGAGACGAGTTGGCTTGTGTGAGTAACAACTTGTCTATTATTGCAAAAGAAAATCCTTTGTAGAAAGAAGTTGTATTTGTGCTGTCATAGAAACATAAATAATTGAAGCTTTGTGAATTAATTCGTGGTTATTTTAAACAATGAAAATAAGCAGTTCAATTTTCTTCATAACAATGAAGGTTGTTAACCTTTTCTTTTTAAAAAACGGTTTATTTTATTTTGATAAAATAAGAATTTTTTTCTTTGACATTTTGTATAAATTGTTTATAGTTTTTGTTATTTTTAAAATAGAACCGGGAAAACTCTATATAGTAAAAAAGATAATAAAACAATAAATCAAGCCCCTCAGTATCGTCAAGCCTTTCACCCCCCTACTGTAATTATAAAAACAAATTACATATAAATTTACTATAATATAAAAAGGCGTTTTTCAACAATTATCATATAGTCGACACTACAGCAAAAGTTTGAACCGCAAGTTTTTACGACTATTATAATGCGATTTTAACTTTAGGTCTGAAATATAATCAACCACTTTCTCCCAGACACTAGTAATGAGTAGAAAAAATTTTATTATAACTATGACAACATCGGAGTAGCAAGACAAACTTATTACAATTTATTTTTGTTGATTTGTGCGGCCGAATGGGTTTACAAAAGAATTGTTAGTTATTTTATTTAAAAAATCAAAAAAACCAAAAATATTTTTTTTCAACATTCTATCTTAACAAAAACAATAACCAAAATTTCAATTATGTATTTTTAAACGTGTTTTTTGCGTCTCGTTCTTTTTAATCGGTTAAACATTTATTACAATCTTACAAAAGTAATATTTAATTTGTATAATTATCATTTATATATTAATTATTTTGTGAAAAATAAACAAGAACGTTAATTTATGAGATAGTTATAAAAGCAATTTATTATTTATGTTAATATTGTATATATGTTTTGTTTTTTGATGTTATATTAACAATAAAATGTTAATTTCTAAACAAATGTTTATTTTTTTGATCAAAATATTTTCTTTAATATCTATAATACTCACGAGTAAAATTCAATTACGTTTTCGTGAAGATGCTATATCGAAGCTCGGTTGTGTGTTTAATATCACGATTTTAAAAATAAGTTTAAAAACAATAAAAAGTCTAAATATGTCTTTCATGACACATATATTTTTTATGAAGTTGTATATAAAAACAAAAAATTTGATATGGAAACGAATGTACATCAACAGTACTGAAATGCATCACTGAGTTATATCATACGGTAACATTATACAAACAAGTTACAGAATGTGTTTTTTATCATAACAATTATTATTAATTATAATAAAAATTTTTTATATTTTTAATATTTGTTTTTTTACAAATTAAAAATTATTTAACTTAAATTATATAATTTTAATAAAAATATTCATAAAAACACCACCAATAAACTATACATATTATTATAATTATATTAATATAAACTATTATTAAAACTTAAGTTGTTGAAAAATTAGATGGGTTATATATCCACCATTATTTTTTTTCCAAAAACTTTTATGAAAACTTAAAATTAAGATAAACAAGTTCAAATATTCAAACTCAACACAAACAACAGAGATGTGTTTGTGTTGAGTTGTTGCGGATTCTCATTACCGTTTGGCAATTTTATTTATTTATTTAAACACAGTGCATATAAATTAACAATTAGATAATGCAAATTAAGCGCGACTAATGTTTGTTTGTTTTTTATGTTATTTATTATGTTTAAGTTGCTGATAAATACAATTTATTAACTATTAGAAATGGGTTTAAATTGGATATAAATTATTGATTACTTATTAGTATTTTTATGTTTAATAAACCGAATAACAATAAATAATTTAGATACTATATTAAACTAATCAGAGATTACTATTTTAAAGTATGTATTAGGAACTAAACCTTACATTATATTTTTAATTTAAACATTTAATAAATTATTATAATTTAAACCTAAAAATTCAAAAGCTTATTACAGTAAAACCCCTCAATAATGGGTTCCCTCAATAAGACCACCCCTCAATATTGGTATTTTTGACCAATAAAATCAATTTTCCATTAATAAGGGGTTTAGTTTTTAAATAAAAATTGTTTAAAATAAATGGTTTAATTGCCTAAGGCATAAAATTGAATATTGTGTTATTGTTGAATTAACAAAAAACGAACAAAAATACATTGGTTATAAAAGTTATAATTGACCATCTAAAATTTCGACCGTTTTATTAACTTTTTAACACAAAAAACTTTATCATTCAGTTAAAATTTCCATATATTTAGTCTTCATTGCTTCAAAACTGTCGCACAGACTACTAAGTCTATTTTTCATGTAATCAATTTCATCTTCTTCAATACGAATTGCTTCTTTCATCACCACAATTTTTTCTTTTTTCCTTGAGACTTTGTTTTGAATTTTTTCTGCTTCAATCATAACCTGTACTTCCTGATCTCTGAGAGTTTATGGACCGTATTCATCTGCATCGCTTAAAGCTGGTGGAAAGTTTTATATGCTAATTCTTCTGAATTATAATCAACATGTTGAATTGTTTGAACTTGAACAATATTTTCAAATAAAACATGTTTCCAAGCATTTCGAATTGACTCAGAAGACACTTTTTCATTCAAACAGCAACATGCAATTTTCATAGCATCTCCAACATTCATTTTTGGAATCGTATATTCAGTATGCGCTCGTTGTGAGGCAAGTAAAACATCACAATAATAATCACATAGCATCGTTCTATAATGGTTTTTAAGTGCCATTATAATACCAGAATCACACGGCTGAAACAAAGCAGTTGTTGATTTTGGAAGGAAAACCACCTTTATATTAATCATTTTAAACACAAAACCGTGTTTTTCTTGTCGTTCATGCTAAAGTATTTATACCAATCTTCATAAAACACTTCATTTACCCAAATATCCAATTTATGACTTGGAGCATTGTCTAGAATCAATAAAATGAAACGATTTTGTATTCTCAATTCCGCTTCCCAATTTTTCAACCATTTGCGAAATATATACGTTGTCATCCAAGAATTCGCTTGTGATTCATAATTGTTTTTGACAACTGGGTATTCGGCTATTTTAAAGTATCTGGGTTTTGTTGATTTACCAATAAACAACAAAGGTTTTTGGAACCATTTAAAGAGCAACACACTAACATAGTGATTCTTTCTTTTGGGTTTTTTCCTCCAAAATTTGAAGAGCAACTTGAAAGAGTTTTTGATGGCAATAATTTATAAAACAACGCAGTTTCGTCTGCATTCCAAACGTTGTCTTCTGAGTACTTTTCTATTTCTTCTCTAAGTTTAATTATATCATCTGTATAATCACTTGGGTTAATAGCATTCGACTCTCCATTGATTCTTTTTGATTTCAGTTCATGCCTTTTCCAAAAGCGATCCATCCAACCATTTGAAAACTTAACATCATTGATGTTTAGTTTATCTGCGCATTGTTTTGCAACTTTTCTCATGAACTCCAGAGAAATTGGAATGTTTGCTTCGCGTATTTCTTCAACGAAGTTTACAAGCATTTTTTCAAGGTCTTCATGTTTTACATTATGCAAGGTTTTATCTTTTGAAGTGGTTGTTATTTCAATGTAACCACCAGTCAAACCATTAACACGCAATATGCGCATGGTTTCTTTACCTGGAATCTTTTTAAAGTGTTTCCAAACTCAAGATATAAGGATTTTGTCGTTTGGGATTGGGTTTGTGTTGGCCCATATAACTATTTGCTTTTTTCTTCTAGAAATAATCTGACTCTTCTTTTTACTAATTTTGTTGCAGAAAAAGACATATATTTTATTAGTTTTTGGTTATATTTTAATTCTTGTTTACACGTGGTATTTATTAGTTATTTGATCTAAAAAAACAAATCCAAAATTTGTAAAAACAATATAAAAAATACTTTAAAAAAAACACTAATGAGGGGATTTTTTTCCCCAATGAATCTACTAATGAGGGGTTTTACTGTAATCATTTATTTGAAATATCGGAATAATATTAATAAAAATTTAATTTCCTATAAATTTATATTTGTTATTTAAGGTTTATTTCATGTAGTTTTTATATTGTATTTTAATTATAAAAACATTCTTAATTAACCAAAAAACTGAGACTGAACCTTTTTTCATCCAACAGCTTTTCTAAGAAGAAAATGAATTGGGTGCGTGTTTTTCTCTAGGTGTGGGTTACTCAACTCACTTTATTTAATTGTTGTACAGTTGACCAAAAAATAGTCAGTTTTAAAACTATTTTATTTAAGTAAAATAAATGGTTTTAAAATATTAATTAAAAACTATTATAAAAAAGATTTAAGTTTTTTAAAATCATTTGGTGTACCTATTTTCACTTTTTTAAAACCCCATTTTTCATAGTTATCTGAAATAAACTAGATTTCAAAAGTCAATAGCACCCGATTTATATTGGTTTATTTTTAATGCAAAACATTGGAAAAACATCCTAATCTATTTATATTTCGATATTGACTTTTTTAAAAAACCAAGACCAACAAAAACAGAATATCTTAAACAAAAAGTAGTATAAATAAATATCAATTCAATTAAAAATTTGTTCATTTTTAATGCAATTTTTTTGAATGCAAAGGCATTATAGTAGATGTCCAATTGAATAGCCTTTTTCTTGAAGACACAATTCAAACCTTCTTGGCATAGAACTCATCAAGTTGTTGATTGTATTTATTGGAATATCATTCCACTCATTTTTGAGAGCCTTAAATAATCTTCTTTTGTTTTGGAATACACTTTTCTTCTTTCTGATGCGTTTTTTCCAAAATTGACCACAAATTTTCGATTGGAGATAAATCAGGACTCGAAGCTGGCCAATCCATTGTTCTTACACCTTCTTCAAACAAGAATTGTTTTGTTGTTTTGCGGTATGATGTTTTGCTCCATCCTGTTGGAAATACACAATATTTTGTCCCCTGTATTTTCTAATGTAGTTAAATATCCCGTTCTCTCTTAACATTTTTTGATACCCAAGTGCATTCAGCCTATTATCACAAAGCAACAATGGAGATTTGTAATCTCTACCTATCGCACCTCACACCATCAAAGAGTAGTCATGTTTGGGTAAAGTCAAAAAGATTTTTTATTTCCATGAGTATTGCGTGTTATTCGTTTCCTGACACCATTAATGAACACCAAATTTGTCTTTCCATATCTAACAGCCCTCTTTTTGTGAATCCAACAACTGCCATTGTCGTTAAATAGACCATATCTTTACTCATCAATGATTATAACTTTTTCCAATTTTTTACATTCCTCTGTTGTAAAGCTGTTTTACAAAAGATCTTCCTTTGACTAACCTGTTTTAAAGTCAGAAACTGACTTTTTCTTAGAGTTGAATATTTAAATCCCAGCTTTTTACGTAAGCGTTGCACAGATGTTGTTGATGAATGAATCTCGGTTGCCAGACAAGCGCGTGACAATGATGTATCATTGATAGTTTTGTTGAATCCTTCGACTTGTTTATTTATATTAACAGAAATTGGTCTGCCAATTTTTTTAGAAACCACTTTTTCTTTGGAATCAGGCATTTTTTTAATACGTGATACTCTATTGGGAGATACATGAAGTTGGTTTTCTATTGACTTGTAAGACTTGCCATCTTTTAGCCATTCAATTATTAAGGAGTCAACCTTGTTGATGACTTGCATATGGTTAAAGAGATATAAAACTAAAATTGAATTAATAAAACTTATAAAAATCGTAGAAATTTATCATTTGAAATGCTTTGTTTACATAGTCATGTTATTTTTGATGTTAAAATAATAAACACATTTACCTTTAATTAACGGGTGATCTGATTATTTTTACATTTCGATCAACAAAATAGTTAGAGTTATCTTCCGGTTATGATCTGAATGTTTGGTCTATTTTTAAATGTGGTTTTTATAAAGTATCAAAAATTACTCCTAATTTCCCACGATATATCATTTTTTTGTTTCCCATAACATCAATAAAATTAACTCGTTTTTTAAATGCACTTTTGCTTTTTGTTTAACTTGAAAAAACCTGGTTTTTTTATTTTGTTTTTTGTGCAACTTTAATTCGAAAATATATATTTTTGAATAACCTCGAATACTTCTTTGCAACTTTTTACTTGAAAACCAGAAAACACCAAAACGGGTGTTTTTTTAGCATACTAAATCCCGATTCAATACACAACAATGAAAAATTCTTACTATCGACTTTTGAAAATTAGTTTACATTACTTTGACAATAATTTGGTCTTTGATAATTACTTGGTTAACTTTAAATTTACATCATACTATATTTTTTTATATAAAAATTGGATGTTAGTTAATAAAATATAATCTTTAATATTATTATTAATTTTAGTATTATATAAGATACAATTAATATTAACAAATGTATAAATTTTACCTGATTCCTAAGGTTTTAAACAACGTTTTACAACAACATTTTAATACATTTAATTTTTATTTCCAATTGTACTTATTTTGACATATTGATTATATAATTTTAATCATTTAATGTTACATAGATCAATTTAAATTAAATATTCATTAAACCATTGTTTTAATGTCGAAAATAAAATTTCTGAGTTATGCAATCAGGTCCCCTTTCATTATAATCCTCTTTGGTGACACTGATATCAACTAAATTCATTGTTTCTGCAAAAAACGAGCCGCCAATCCATGCATCAAGTTTGGGGTCGTCGTGAACGTGGAACTTAGGCATTAATTTAGAATCGATAATATTCATTTCTTTAGCAAGTCTTTCTTTGAACCCCGGAAACATGGTGTTGCCACTTCTTAAAACAATATTAGGTCCAACTTCGGCTTTTAATCCATCATCCATTTTTCCAATACAGTTGCAAACAAATTCGTGTATACCTTCCTGGGTTAGTCCTATAACACTTGGATTGAAAAGAGCCTCGGGAAAACCATACCTTTCTCTTCCAACTATCATTTCTTTACCATCTGGTAATTTGTAACTTCTTTCAAGCTCTTTTACATCTTTTTTAATTTCATCATTGACATCAAGAACTGTATAAAACAGAGTTTCTTTTATGTTTTTGGCTGCATTTTTCATTTCTGGTGTATTCAAATTGTAACCTTTATCGTTCATTCGGTTGATGAAATTTTCAGTCAAATCACTCCCAGCAAAATTGTATGTCATATCATTAGGTCTATATGTGACACAGTCGGCTATTACACTAAATTGAGTGATTCCATCCCCTGACTCAATACAAATTCCACATTCTAAACCGTTTCCTAATACTGTCAAGAATGTTGATGGTAGAACAAAAAGAGATGGGATTTTATAATTCTCAAACATTATTTGACCCATTTTCTCTCTGTCTTTTATTGTATTCAAAATAGATTCAATATACAGAAGTGGATGTTCCTCGGGTTTAATTTCTAATTCGTTATAAAACACGCGGTGCCAAAGTTGCTCCATTGAATCCCAGTTCTTAATAAGACCACGAACAACGGGTGAAACGCCATTTTGTATTGTTGGAAAAACCGATTTAGGAAGCTTATTTCCACATAAGCCAACTTTGGTTAAACTTGAACCACTGTCAAGCACAACTGCCGTTACTTTTTGAATGATAGATTACTAAGAATTGGTGTTTAAATAGCTCATTACTATTGTGTAATAAATTACACACTTGAGAACAATTTTATTGTTAAATAGTTGTTTACAGTATTTTTCAAATTGTTTGATTTTTTATATGGATATATATGCTAAAACATATTAAAGTTGTGGGGATTTATCTTTTACACCCGCACCCCGCTATTAATAAATTATTATTTTCTAAAAATATAAATATTTCATATTATTGGGTTTCGATTTTAGAGAAATAAATAGGGTAATTTTTTATCTTTTTCATCTCAAAAAACTGAAAATAGATGTTGTCATTTTTCATTTCTTTCTATCAAACGAAAGTATCAAAACAATTAATTTAAATCCTGCTTTTTAAATACAGTAACAACCAATTCCATTGGTAGATACACTATTTATTCTAAAGTTCTCATTGTGAAAAATCACAACATTATAGAGTAAAACCTCTCAAAAGCGGGAGTATATGGTAAATTTTTTCTCTCAAGAGCGGTCAGCTATTTAATCAAACAATAAAATAGCTCAATAGAAAACTCAAATTTTGGTTTTAATCTAAAAAGACATGCTCATGAAAGAATCCGCTCTTCAGAGGTTTTATTGAATGTTTAATTCTTCATTTTATTTTTTGTCCAAGTTAAAGTATATACATTGGAATATAGACACTACAATGAGTAATAAAAATTTAATTTTTTAATCTCAATAAAGTACAATCGGACACATTTTTGAAGTTTATTACTCTTTTCGAATGAAAAAAGTAATCAACTGTAAATAGTAACGCAAACGTTTATGTTTAAACTCTCATATCAATGTAGTTAATAATGAAAAAACAAAGTTCGATAAAAAAATAAAGTAAAACAACAAACAACACAAGAGTTGTTTGAATTGAAATAAACTGTTGTCGATTCAATCAAATATTCTTTTTAAACCAACAAAGTATAAATTTGACCATTTAATAAAATACTTTAACATTGATATATCAATCACCAAAGAAATATTTTATAACTAAACAAAGATTTTTCTAGATTAAGTTCCCAATTAAAAATCAATTTTGAGACACTACAATTGTAAAACCGACCATTGATAATACTGTAATTATATGTAAGTTGACTCATAGTATAATGTTATAGGGATTGGATGCAAGTTTTTTTAAAAATAAGGATGAGGTAGTTATTTAAGAAGTATGAAATGTAAGCAGTCGTTTTGTTTTTATCAGAAGAGACGCAACGAATGTCGAGCTGTTTGGTATAGCATTAGTTAAGATTGGACTAGAGTTGGTGTTATGAGTGGGTAAGTGATACAAAATTAAACATTTTCAAGAAAAATCACACCAAATTTCTAATAACTAATTGAGTGTTTACATCCCAACATTTAACTGTGAGACATTAAAGGTGCAACATAGGAGTTTGCTTTGCCAGTTCGAGTTGAGTGGAATCTTACCAGTATGGTTAAATCCTGAAATTGAAGTCACATTCAATATTAATAAAAATGGCATTATGAATGACTCAGCAAATGACAAAATTACAAAATAAGAACACAACTACACACACAAACAACAAGTGAATACATTTAAAAGAATAGATTAATTAGATATAGTATTATATAAAACGTGAAAATAAATTATTATTTATGTTGTAACAACTAATAGTAAACATCAAAAGAGACAACATTAAGAAATTAAATATCAACTCTAAAGTTTTGTGTGGTTTCTAAAAACTATCTTGATTAGTATGTGTTTTAATAACTGCGTTTTCCAAAGATTGTAATTTGTTGTTTTAAACAACATAAAACCAAAATTTTAATTATTAATGAGGTAAACCAAAGAATATAGGACACTTGTTGACTATTTGTTCTTTGTTTATGTGATTGACTTTTGATAATTCGTTGTTTTTCTTTTGGCATGTTCTAACTGAATGACCGACATATCCACAATACCCACATTTATAGACTCTCTCTTTGGGTTTAAACATTTTAGCTTGTTGTGAACATTCTCTAAAAGAGTCGGGTAGTTTTGGTGGCTCTCTTTTTGTTCTGTTCATACTTGGATGTGTGACTTTTTCAACCATGACTCTGGGTCTGTATCCTCGTTGAAACTGTCTAGAAGGCTCAACTAAGTCGTCAACAAATTTGTCTTCCTTTTCCTCTTTATTGTTATTAACAATAGAAATACGTTTTGCTATTGGTTCAAAATCTGTTGATTCATCTTCTTTGGAAAAAATTGATTTCCTCCCACGTGAATCCTTGGTTACAACAAGACTTGGTCTCATTCTTTTTACTCCTTCTTCCACAATCAATTCGTTGATATGTTCCATCGCTTCTTTTTTATTTTGTAAAACATGGTTAACAAATTTATAATAGCACACTCTGAGAGTTTGGTCATCTTTCAATACATTCTCAATTGACTCCAATGCAAAATGCAAATATCTACGACTTTTTGAGCATTTAACAGTGTCTTCTGTTTCAATAGTCTCTTTGGTGTGCACACAAATTGTTCTTTTGAAACATTCTTTTCCAAACAAAATCGCAGGCAGAGGGAGTTGATTTCTTTCAACGTAAAGTGCAATAACGTGGATACGTGGGAAATTGTTGGTTCTAAAAGCCGCACATGAACACGATGCCATTGTTGTATCATCCAAGTGTGTATTATTACCTCCTAAAACCAATTTAAATAATTTCATTATATTTATTAACACTTCTTTGGGAAGTAGGTATAACACATTATGATCGATAACACCTTTACACATTTCATAATTGAAACCAATTTCTAAATCAAATTTGGTTGCATCGGATTCAATAAGTTGTGCAATTTCCAATAAAGAAACTTCTTTACAACCAAATTTCAACTTTAATATGCCAAAATAACCTTCTATGCAATTGGAAGTGCTATGATTGGATATAACACATGTACAAGATGGTAACCAACTAGTTGCTGATTCTATTATACCTCTTACAAGTCTCATCTTTGTAACGGTATTGTCGTTTGTGGTGTGTTTGTCGAGTACGTCTTTCATTTCATTTATAATTTCTTTGACAATCATTCTATCGTCTATAAACTGTTTCTTGTCATATCCATCTTCATCCTTAATAAACCCTGTCGACTTTCCAAGTTCCTCCAAAAAGTCACTTTCACTTACAGAACCGCTAATCATCATATGCCACTTTTTGACAACTGTTGACTTTTCTCCAAATGCAACAATTAAATCTCGCACGATATGTCGATGACAGAATACAAAGTTGATACCATTGAACGCTTCTTTCATAGCAGTGATTTGTGACATACACCTATCACACACCACAACATTAAATACACGAAATTTTGATATAAAAGAAAACAAAGATTGAAAGGAAGATGTCGTGCGGTCTCTAAGAATACCATAAAAAACGACATGCATAGCACTGTGATCATCAAGTGAAACACCGACAACCAAAGGTAAGTTGAAAACGTTTTTCATGGCGGTGTCATCAACAAAAATTCTTTGTGAATACAGAGTATTAATTTGATTTATGTTGAAAGCATAAAAGGAAACAAATTGCCCTGCTTTATTCTTTACAAAATGTGTTGAAAAATACGTGTATTTTCTGAGTAATTGTAAAGTTCTCTGGTTTGGTCAGGTGTGAATCTTTTAAAGTGACTATTTGAAAGCCTTCTAATTTTGAAGTACTTACATTCAAAATCATTGTTGTTTCGATTTGAGCAGCTGTAAGGTGTGCAGTCGCCAATTGATTCATTTTATATATTTGATCTTTTGTAAATACCAAACTTACATGTTTTGGTATATCAGTTTCAAAGTTATGTGAGTGTCCGTTTGTGAAAGTAATTTGTTGTACCCACGTTTTTGTTGAATCTAAAAGAATAACAACTTGTGATTTACACTTTTCAAAACAACATTTGAATTTTTGTGTCTTTTTTTCGGAGTCACTGTTTTTAGTAACATACAAAGCAAAAGAGTGTTTTTGAATTGTAATGAGTGATGACTGAGACATAATTTTCGATTGATTGGCAAATGAATAATCACTAAATCCACTAGTGATAGAATTGACAACTTCTTCTGGAGTTGGGACTCCAGATGCGACAAATGTGACATTCCCGTTGACAACTTCTACGCCGAAGTCGAATAACACTTCAATGGTTGATTCTGACGCTTTTTCCATTGACTTAATAGTGTTTAAATGGTCTTCCATTTTTTATACTGAGTTTTTTTGCAAAAAATAAAAAACTAAGAAACTTAAATTAATTAATTAAGTTATCAATAACTATTTGGCGATTTGTAACCCGTGTACATAAGTTACATTTTTAATTGTTTAAAAGTGTAAAATTTGTTGATGTCTGGTGATATAAAGTTTATTTTCATGTTGGACTATAATAAATTAATCGTGTTAACAATGAAATAAAGGAGTTAAAATGTGTTTTAAATCAAATTTAAAATATTTAAGATGACTTTTTATCTTGTGTTATATGATTGTTTCATTTAACATAGCCTCACCAATAACTATCTCCTTGTCTGTTTTAAGATAAATGGATAATTTAGTCACAACTGGAATGATAAAAACGAACAACAAAAAATGAAGCATTGAAGATGAATTGATTAAATAGAAAGATTTTGGTTCAAAGACTTAAGTAAGAATGGTATTGTTAACAATAACACATTTACTTGGTATAATATAATACCAAGTGTCAACACATTTATAACAACAAACTGGAATTGTATTCAATTTGATTACTCATATAACACCCAGATCATTGAAAATGTTAGTTAAATCAAAGGTTAGCAACATCTCTAACATTATTAACAATAAAAACTCGATGATAGTAATAATAAAGAGAGTAATCAGTTTAGTTTTGTTTTTGTGATTTTTCGATGCTAGAACATCAGAATAACTAAGTATACAACATATCCAATCATCCATATCTTTGTTGCTATTAAGCATATATATACCTTTAAAGAGTTTTTTTAAATCTAATTGGTTTTTATCAATAAATTCTTTATTTTTATCAGACTAATAAAACTATGTAATGATAAGTAACTTAAATCATAAGATTTATTGACTTTTAAATTGTGTTTTTTTGCGTTGAAATGTGTCGAAAAATCACCCGGCTTGCTATTGGCATAATAATAACATCCAGCCATTTAATGAACATTGGGTGAATGCTTACTTTGACTTTATTCTGTTTCTGTGTGTATTTATCTTTGAAAAAACAGGTTAAAAATTAATCGAATGTATCTCTGATTGTTGCTTCATTTTCACCTTTGTCGTTTGATGAAATTTTTGTCATGATTATTTTAATAAAAGTGTTTTTGAATAACAAAGTTTTCAAGTCCATTTCTCCTCGACAAATCATTATTTTGTCATCATAGTTGAACTTTTCTGCGTTTGCAACCATCTTGTCAGTCTGCTTTTTTAATTAATTTATTGTTGTTTGTGATCGTGTTCTTCTTTCGTAGTCTTTTGACGAAACATTAAAAATAAGAAATGTTAAATAACATCGTATTTTTTCAGTTTTTTGAGATGAAAAAGATAAAAAATTACCCTATTTATTTCTCTAAAATCGAAACCCAATAATATGAAATATTTATATTTTTAGAAAATAATAATTTATTAATAGCGGGGTGCGGGTGTAAAAGATAAATCCCAAAGTTGTGGCGTTAAATTAATAACATTATTTTTGTAAAAAATATAATTTGACATAGTCTTACACAAAAACTTAGTAAAGGGGTGAAAAACCGCTTCGAGAAAAAACCGCTTTTGATAATTTAATAGTAAAATGATAATATGATTGTGTTTTTTTTTGTTTAGTATATTTTTTCCTTTTTATTAATTTGATTCATAAAAACAAGGTTTTAAAAAGTCTCTCTGACTTTTTAAGATGTAGATGTTATATAATAGACTTCGCACCCGCTCTTTTTATTATGAAAAATTGGTATTTAAAAATGCTATTAAACCGAAATGTTATTTTTTACACAATTTTTTGGCGTTTTTAATACTTATAATCATCAGTAAATAAAATCGAGACCGAAGTCAAATACAAAGTTGTTCATGTTTTATTTTTCGATTTTTAAATGTTATACTGTTGTTTTTTGTTTTAAAATGTTATTCATTCTTAATAATTCTTTTTAATCTTAATAGTTTTGAATGGCTTTACTATATATCCAGGGTTGAATAAGAAATTTATTAAAATTTATTAAAATTTTTAATGATTTTTAAATATCAAAAGAATCAATTTATTTCATACTGTTTGTTTCATTCTAATCTGTTTTATTAATTCGTTAGTATCCATTAACAAAATAAAAAGCAACAACCAAAATGATACAAAACCTCTCAAGTATTATAATTATCATAAGAGGTGTCTCAAATTGGGTTTTAAAACCCAGTTAAAACTATCAAAATATACCGTGACTTGGAATAAGAGGTGATAATCGACTAGAGAAAAAAAGCTTTTTTGAATTATAAACAAATAGTTGTATTTTTCGTTATTTGAAAAAAGTTATTGGTATTTTCTTTTATGAATAATGTTTTTAAGAAACCAATTATTTGTATAATATACATTTTAATGTTATATTATTTTAATATTAAATGTCGTTTTAAGTAGAAAAACGACTCGGCAAAAAGTCTCCATCTGTAAAGAAAAGGGTTTAAAGATCGCAAAATCAAACAATATAACGCATTTTACTTAAACTACTTTATTATTGATACAAAAAACAAAATTATACATTTTTTTTCATTTTAAAATGCAATTTTAAGACAAAATAAAAAAATTTCTTGTTGTGTGATAGACTTTGCCTTAAATTCATTCATTTATTATAAATAATTTTTCAATTTTGGCATAACGTTGTGTGGAGTCGATGTAAACAAATATCATTTCAATTTAAGTCCGACAACAATAAAAAGAATAATTGACCTCATTTCTGAAGTTAACACAGAACAGACGCTCGAACTGTTGAGGAATTGTCATTATTATGGTTTGATGGCAGACAGTGCCAGATATAGACCAAACGAACATTTTTCTTTGTTCATAAGAATTTTAACCGATAAAATGATTGTTGTTGAGAAAAAATTGAAGATGGAAAAATATATTGGAAAAACAACTGCAGATGCTTGGTGTGATTGGGTAAAGTCAGTTGCGGGATTGTTTGGATTAAAATTGAATTTGTGTGTCAACTTCACCTTCGATGGTGCTTCGACAATGATCTCTGATGAAGGTGGTCTTGCAAGAAAGTTCATTGAATTTATGAAATCAATTGGTATTGATGTTAATGGATTCGAACCAAATTATTGTTTCAATCATCGATTGAGTAAAGCAGTTGAAAAAATGGGAACGACGTTTTATGGGTGTCTCGTGAAGAAATTTTTATACAAATTAACGGGAGCCAACGTGAGGATGAATTGGGAATCTTATTGTAAAGAAAAAGGAATTGAAAAAGAAGCCTTGTCAATTTTTCAATATAGCAACACTCGGTTTCTATATATAGCGACAATATCTAATATGGTATTTGACAATCTCAACGAACTTCAAGATTTTACAAGGAACCAAAAGAACTGGAAAATCGAAATGCCTAAACCGAAAAGAAGGGAAAGCAGTGCCAAACAACAAAACAAAAATGATAACGAAAACGACAACTTCGAATATGATGGCATTGACGTCTCGAGACGGCTTATCAAAACTGCGACTTTGGACGACGACAAGTTTGTAGCACTGCTGTTCTTCGTTAATTTCGTTACGAGTCAGGTAAAAGTTCTCAGTGACCGGCTCCAAAAATCGTGCCTTTCCTTTGCTGTTTCCCATGAACGTGTGCTTGAAGTCATCGAGAATTTAATCGAACTTAAAAATGACATCTATCAACGCTCAGAAGAAAAACTCTTTAACATGCCTTACATCCACAAAGTCAAATCCACAGAAAGAGTTCAATTTCGTGATATTTGTCTGGGGTTGCTTTATCGTTTATTACAAACACTTTCTGTTCGATTCACTCTTCCAACCAAAAAACTCAAGCCAAGCCAAATAGCGCTCAACGGAACAACAAATGAAACAACCATTAGCATTAACACATTTGATGACTTTGTTAAACTCGGAGACTCTTTTCGAAACGAGAGTTTTTTGCTTTCCGTCCGCACTTGTTTGTTGCCTGTCTTCAGAAAGGTGAAATCTAAAATATCCGAGGATCTCAGATTGGAAATTGTTCAATTCAATCAGTGGATGGACTCCCACAAAGTGCAAATGACCAAATTAAAAAGCAGAGACAAAGAACTCAATAAAGAACAATTGATTAGACTTCAAAAGGCTACACAGCCAGTGAGGATTTCCAAAGAAGCCAAAGACATTATTTAAAAACTTGACTCACAACAAAACATTGGGTTGTTAAATGAAAAAGAACAAAATATTGTGAGGATTGTTAGAGAAATGCAAAAATCGAGGCAAATTAGGCATTGCCAATTGAATGACTATTTCGTTCCATGTCAAAATACTGCAACATTGGTGGTGCTCTTGCAAATGTCTGAATCTGAAAGATCTCATTTCCCGCTTATTATGGATCTTTCCAAAACATGTAGAGGCAGTAAATGTGACTTCTTCGACAGTCGAACGTTCATTTTCACGTTTGAAGCATATAGCAAAGGCGAATATGAAGTCAGAAACAATTAGTCAAATGTATGATGTTAACGATATCGTAAAGAAATGTGATTTCTGATTTGTGTGTTTTTGGTTACTTATATTCTATTAATGTTTTTTACACTTAAAAATAATAATTATAAATAAAATACAAGTTTTGTTATACGACATATTAATGTTGATATGATTTCTGAAGAACAGAACAGATAATAAAACAAATAAAAATTGCCATTTTACATGGTTTAAAAATGTAAAATGGCAATCAAATTTGTCAATCCCTAATCATTAATATATGTTTACTTTAAATTATGGCAAAATAAAACTAATTCTATTTGACAAAAAACAAAACCAAGTTACAAATAAATCTTTATTGTTTTGACAGAAAACATTTTATATATTAAATTGTTTAAAAACGAGTAAAAATAGTTAAATAAAATTAAGCATAAGTCTCAATTTACCCGGGGTTTGGTCCGAATCTAATTATTTTTTTACAAAAAGAAAAAATCAGCTAGTTAAACAAATTTTATTCTTTTTGGACAAAAATAATTAAAAATAATTTAACATTTAACTGGCCGAAAACTAAAATTATATAAGAATAATAACAATATCAAAAATTGCCTTCTTGAAAAAAGTTGTTAAAAATGACCAAAAACCCCTTCTAGGCAGAAAAACCGAAAAATGACACAAAACTTAGTCAAAAATAATAAAAATAAGGACTCAATTACGTAAGATTTGTTTTTGAGGTTAAAAATAACAACAATTTTTCAAATTAAAGTCAAACCTCTCAAAAGCGGGAAGGTATGGTAATTTTTTTTCTCAAGAACGGAAATTTTAGACAATCAAATTTAATTACTACTCTATAGAGAACTCGATTTTTGTTTCAGTCTTAACTGCTTTCTATTGAGAAAACCCGCTCTTTCAAAGTGCCACTCTGATAAGATTTTACTGTATATCAGAACCGCAAATATTATTTTTTTATTTAATAATTATATACTAAATACACATAAACAAATCTTGTTGCTTAAACAAGACATATATTAATATTACGAAAATGAATCATAACAAACTCAATTTAATTTACGTTGGTGTTGACCAGATGAACAGCAAGTTGCTTTTTAATTCGATAACATT